CAGACTATATACATGTTGAAATCGAAGCACTCCTTCTGGAAGAAATTTTGTATACAGGAAAAAAAAATAAACACCATTGTAGAACCAATAGATCCCTCAGAATCGAATATATAGTTATATGTTATAACTTTTATACAAATATTTCCTTAATTATACATTAGGTACCTACTTCATTCATAGTTGATCTTAGATAGCTTTTCAACCTTAAAAAGTTTGAAAAAGATCTATCTGGAGTGGTTGTAGATACTGGCAATCCGGGCAATGCACAAAACTACAAAATATTTGAATTAAAAAATGAATTTGGTATTTTTCAACCATTTTCGGAACCCAACTGATAAAAATAATCACGATATTTATTGAAAATGTTGATGTAACTATAGCTTCGAACATTTTTTATACAATCCGTAAAATCGTATGATAAAATTTGTTTTTTAATCATGTAAAAACTGCATAACATTTAACATGTACGAGACACGAGTCAATGGGAGGGGTCCGGACCCCATGGACGCCCCCCCCCCGTAAATACGCCACTGAAATTAAGATAGACCGTTGAAAAATGCAATATTTACAAATTAACTATTTTAAAACTTCCGACCGTCATAAACATGGCAACTTTGAAGATATCAACAAACTGTAAAGATCAAAGTTGTTCAGAAAAAATAAAAAAATCGAAATCCGGTCTCTAAAATAGTGGTTGCTATTTAAGAAATTTTTATTTTACTGCGCATGCACTGATAAAAAAAAATTAAAAATTTGAATTCATTAAAAAAATATGTATTTATAAGTCCTAAATGCAGTATAAAAACCCCGATTCAAATCCAATGTCACACGATCGAAATATTTCCTGTTACCTTTAAAATTGAACACACGGTATATACTCGTATATATTTTTACAATAATTTTATTGATTGTCAAATAAAGATTAGGTTTAATATAACATTATATATTATATTATGTATTTAAAATATCTAAAAACAAAAACAATTGTTATATTTTTCATACTCAATGTCTATGGTATATATCCAAGTTTGGATAGGTAGGTAGTTAATTCTTGAGTAGATTACCATAAATTCAAAGCTCAAATTGTAAAAAAAAAATTATACTTGTAAAAAAAATAGTAGGTAGGTATTTACTAATTTGTATACCTTGTTGTACCCCACACCTGCATACCAACACATTTCATTTTATAATAGAAAGATATTTATTAATTTATACTTCACCGTTTTTAAATAGATATGAGTAATCAATATATTATTATTGAATAATATTAGTCATTAAGTTAATTAGAAAATTAATCAACTAAATAAGAAAAAAGTTTAAAAAAAATTAACATTTTAACTAGTCTTAAAATCAGATCCTGTGCATTATGCTATACTTAGGGCGCGGATTAATATGCATTTGCATATAATATGTTATGGTCGATTATTTGATATGCTACGTGAGCACGATTTAAAAAATGAAATTTTTTAGTGCATATTTGGGCATTTACCCATTTTTTCTATTTTAAGAACCTATTTAGCCTTATTTAACTTATTTAAAGTTATAAAACATGCAGCCCATGCAGGTAAGTTAGAATGTCATCTTAGGCGTAAGCCTTTTAACAACTTAGATAAAGCTTTATGGTTTATATTATATCTGAGTATCTGACACTCCATGAACATAAAAACTGATGTAAAGAAGGAAGTTTATCAGAAATATTATTGAGTGGAGTGAGTGGGTTATGAATGTTATGATGTTCTATTTCAGAAACGCACTATAATGCTCACAATAAACATTTATATTAGCATGATCTACCTTGCTATTTATATTGTCGTAACATTGATCAGGAATACCTTCAATAGGTACTATAGTTACCTATTATTGTATTCATTCGACATGTTAACGGTATTTTTATCAAGGTGGGTAGTATTTAATACAGGTATCATTATATTGGTTTCATTACGAGCTCTGGTCAGTGGCAGTTTTTTTTTGAGGGGGGGGGGACGAAGGGGGCGCTTCCCCCTTGAATTTTTTTTGCATATCCTTTTTTTAATTCAAATTACACTAAATGCTTGAATTGCTTTAATTATGGTTGGGGGAGGCCAACAAATTTAAAATAGCCCACCTTGATGTTTTATCAAAACCGCCACTGGCTCTGGTGCGAATACGATAACTTTTGCTGAGTCTATTTAATTTTAATATAATACAATCTAAAATACTCATTATGTTATTTACTGCTATTATGTTTAGACAATATCTTCGACAACTTTGGTAATGGTTGGTACTTGATAATCTATTTTGTATACATGTTTGAATCAGAAATAGATACTTGGCATAATATTATATCCAACGCCATAAAATGCTGTAAGTAGGTAACCTATAAGTTTTCGGTGGGAAAAACGTGTCGGAATTTAATCGGAAGTGTAAAAAAAATATATTCTACTCTCGCAGACACCACTCAACTGTGGTGGTCCAAAATTGGTCAAATTCCGTATATGTCACTATTTAAACACTAATGACACCAAAAACACCAGGTTGACACTACTGGTCCAGCATCGGGTCAGGACACAGTCCAAACACCAATTTTCAATAAATTATTTCTACCCGGGTACCTATGTCGGTCGGAAACTATATGCTTGTCTGTTACGTGAGAATTTCTCCCACTGGTTAAGAGGTTAAAGATTCCAAAAATACATATTTTTGACATATAATCATCGATGATAAAATAAAAGTTCAACCCCCAGGTAGGTAATAACCAACATACGTATTCCTATAATGCAGGAAAAAACATTTCTAAAAAACACTTCTAAAAAGGTGGGCAAGTGGGTGTCGCTCTGCTGTACAGTAGGTTACAAGTGGGTCACTGTATAATGGATGATATTAAATTTGAATTCAACGATATAATATCATTGTATAGGAAAAACGATTCTGAGCGGAGACGGTATGTCAGTCTATGTATAAGACATATTATATACATATCTATATGGTATTAAACAAAAAATTTACCTATAATAAATTCCAAATTAATCATATCACAATATCCATTAGATACTTATAACGCGTTATACATCAACAAAAACCGTGATACTATCATAGATATATAATAGTACACTTTAGAAGTTTCAAGTACCCACGAATAATATTATTCAATTACAACTATATAACTAAAATAGTTATTCTAGGTTTTTTAATATGTAATTTCGTCCAAATTTGAATTTAAAATGTCTGTAAAAAATAACTGTGTTCATATATTTTTTAGATTTTTTGGTTACAGTATTAACTATTTATGAGGAGGGGCTATATTATTGCCCCAAAATATATCATCCGGAAATAAATTTACGAAAATTATTTTATCCGAAAAATATTCTATTAGAAACGTATTTTATCCGAAAATTATTAAACACGAAAGTAAAATACACGAAAAATATTTTATCAGAAAATATTATACACGAAAATAAGTAAGCCGAAAATATTTTAACCGAAACGTATTTTACCCGAAACGTTTTCTCCCCGAAAAATATATCTTCCGAACCGTATTTTATCTCAAAAATAATATAGGACTTGATAAGCACTTTTCCGAAAAATGATAAGGTCAGAAATTTGAAGAAGTAGTACCAACCGACTAAATCGAAATTACCTAATTAATTATATAATTAATATTGATTAAAGCATAGAACATAAAGGTATATTATGAAAAAAGTTATTTGAATGATTTCGCGCTTTTATTTGAAAACCAATGCAAGTTATCATTCCCTATTATAACTTGATGGAATTCATTTTTTATGTTTATGTTTTAAATTGTTTTTTGACTTATCACCTGAAGTGAATAAAGCTATATTGGCGTCATGTTTTCACCCAGAATATGAACTTAGATGGATACCTGTGAACAATGATGTGGAGAAGAGACGAATTCAAAACTTCTGAATAAATACTGTTGGAAAGTTTTTTATGGAAACCACTGTTATAGATTCAGTTGAAGCAGATAAATATGAATTTTTCGTATTTTCATCTGAAGAACAAACAAAGCTGATTCAAAAGCAAATTTGGAAGTTATACAATTGTTAAATGATAAAAATAAATTATTATTTATTATCAATTTTGAATAATTATGTTGCAATGAAAAACCATTTGTAAAATGTAATACAAATCTCTATGCCCCTGCTCTTGGAAAGGTTACATTATTTGCCGGGTTCATTCATTGTCCTACTAGAAGAAATTGATCCGACCATAATTTTGAAAAATTAGTTTTCCTTAAAGGAAATAAATAATATTCATTCCAGTAGAAAATAATTAAAACAAAATTACAAGTCAATTTTATGTTTTAAATTGTATTAGCATAATATATATAAATACCATTGACTTTTTTAATACTTTAATTACTAGGTACCTATGTTACATGCGCTTATTTTATAAGAAGAATACCTACTGATTATGTTTATCTATTATTATTTTTATTATGATTTATCATATAGGTATGGCTGTATGCTAAATACATTAAATTATTTTAATATAACTGCAATTTGTAAAGAATATTTTACACAAACTATTACAGTATTGTTATAAAAACTTTTAAAATGTGTTAATTATAATAAATAAATAAATAAATACAAACATATATTATTTATCAATGAAACTTTTAATTTTAAATATAACTTATATAGGTGATAACAGTTATAGCTTTTTAGCTCTCCTGTATACATTTCAATTCTTGCAGTTTCATTTTTCGTTTTTTCTTATCGTGCTCACTGCCTCAACTACGTTCCTGTCTACATCAATCACTCGTGTTTTCAAATCATCAAACCAAGTATTTCTAAAGTTTTTTTGGAAGTTTCATCTACACCATAAATCAATAATTACTACGAAACACCGTAAGTTTGCTGTTATCATTTTGATTTTTATCACATCTATGAAACACTTAGTGCTCTGTCAGCTGTTTTTATTTGTTTTCTGGAGACTTTAACGCCTGTCTACACGATATCATAATAATACTTCGAGTACAATATTAATTAATTACAATCATTATGGAAGAACAACTTGCATCTATAATAAGCTCCTTGAGTGAGATCAAATCAACGCAAAATAAACTTATTCAATCCTTCAATGAACAAAATAAAGCGATAAAAAATTTTAGTACTCGTTTTGATAATCTCTCTTCACAAATAAAAAAATTATCGGATGACAATGCTTCATTAAATGGAAAAGTTTCTCAACTTGAACTCAAAATCAAAAATCTCGAGCAAAATGCTTTATCAACCCCGAAAACAACACATCTTGATATAATTAATGAAATTGCTGACAGACAGTCTAGAACCAATAATATAATTTTATTCAATCTTCCTGAAGCAACAGACCCTTCCAAAATCAAACCTGATAGCGAACGATTAAAATTAATCTTCAATGAGATGGAACTAAATATTGAACCTATCAGATTTTTTCGTCTGGGCAACCCTTCAACTCGAGCTCGCCCGTTAAAAATCACTCTCAATGATACAGAAAATGTATTTAACGTTTTACGTGCTCAATCTAAAATCCGTTCTTCAGATGAATTTAAAGAATTACGCTTCTCTTCGGATCGCACTTTGAAACAACGCGAACAAATGTCTAAATTACGTCAAGAGCTGGAAACTCGTCGAAGTAACGGCGAAAACAATATTATTATTAAATATATTAAAGGCAACCCAGTTATTAACAATTCAAAAAACTAAATCATACTCCATTTACTCTATCAATATATTATCAAAACGTCCGTGGTATCAATTCTAAATTGATCAAACTAAATACATATATTCCTTTATCAACTTTTGATATTTTTGCTTTTACTGAAACATGGCTCACAAGTAATGTAAATTCCTCAGAACTTGGATTCAAAAATTACAATGTTTTTCGATGTGACAGAAATATTCATACCAGCAATCTATCTAGAGGTGGCGGAGTACTCATTGCTGTAAATAATAAACTCTCGTCGAAACTCATAAATATTACTACTAAAAATCTTGAAATTATCTTTATTTTAATCAAAACCGGTCAATATAATATTATTATTAGTTCTGTTTATATTCCAAATCGCTCAACTATAGAAATATTTGAAGAATACTTTAATATTGTTAATAATATACGTTATGATTATCCATCATCAGACTTAATTTTGCTAGGTGACTTTAATATTCCATCAGCTATCTCATCTCATACAAAATCTTTTTTTTTTGATAATATCTCATTACTTAATATGACCCAATTTAATAACATTGTTAATTCAAAAAATAATATTTTAGATTATGTAATATCAAATAATAATTCTATCAAGGTATTTTTAAGTGAAATCCCTATTGTTGATGTTGATTCTTATCATCCCCCACTAGAAATAAACTGTGAAACACTCAATTATAATGTTGATTCTATTTATACTAATGAAATTATATACAATTGGTCTAAGGCAAATTACCGAATGATTAACTCACATTTGGGCCCAATAAACTGGCTTAACTTACTTCATAATACTAATGACATAAATTATAATATTTCTACTTTTTATTCTATTATTACCTCTATTATATATAAATATGTCCCTACGTATAAAAAACATAGCTCATCATATTCTATTTGGTTTAGTAACAAACTTAAATGTTTAATTAGAGCAAAAAAAAAAGCCCACCTAGACTTCAAATACACTAATTCATCGATTGAATTTAGAAAATTCTCAAACTTAAGAAGTCAATGCAAAGTTACGAGGAAAAATGATTACACAAATTATTTATCTAATGTTCAAAATTCAATAAAACTCAATCCAAAATTTTTCTGGAAGTTTATAAATGATAAAAAACCTAATCATAACCTTCCAAACCTAATGGTATATAATAATGAAGAGGCTGAAGGCGGACAACCAATTGTAAATATTTTTGAAAAATATTTTTCTAGTGTATATACCCAACCTTTACCTAATCCATCTTTAAAACCAAATCCTATTAATACATTAAATTCTATTTGCAATCTTCAAATCTCTCTTATGGATGTATTTAATGAACTTAATAATATAAATTTAAATTTATGCTCAAGCCCAGACAATCTATCCTCAAAATTTCTTTTTGAATGTCGTTTTATATTATCATATCCACTTCATATTTTATTTAATCAATCATTAATCACTGGAGTTTTTCCTACTTCCTGGAAATCTGTCTTTATATCTCCTATATTTAAGAAAGGTGACAGATCATCTGTTAAGAATTACCGGCCAATTTCAAAAATATCTATTATTCCTAAATTATTTACAAAAATTATTAACTCGAAATTTTTTCCTATATTTAATACTACCCTTATCGACGAACAACATGGTTTTCGCCCTAAACGATCAACAGTCACAAACTTAGCTATATTCAAACAAGATATTATAGATTCTTTTTCCTCTAAAGCACAAACTGATGTCATCTATACAGATTTCAATAAGGCATTTGACCGAATTGACCATAATTTATTAATTCTAAAATTAAAAACATTTTATGGCATTAATGATCCTCTCCTATCATGGTTCGCATCTTTTCTATCTGAAAGACAACAAATCGTCAAATATAATAATTTCCTATCAACGCCAATTCATGCTTCCTCTGGGGTACCTCAGGGAGATCATATTTCTCCTTTATTATTTTTATTATTCATTAATGATGTTTCTTCAATTTTAAATCACTCCAAAATATTGCTTCTTGCTGACGACGCTAAAGTTTATAAAACTATTAAATCTATGAATCATAATTTAGAATTACAATCCGACTTGGATAACTTTTGTAATTGGTGTTTAGATAATGGCATGGAACTCAATTTAAATAAATGTTCTGTAATTACCTTTTCACATAAAAAAGTCAATTCATTCTTTAACTATAATTTAAATAATTGTCCCACACAACGTGTTTCATTAGTCAATGATTTAGGTATCTTCTTTGATAGTAAATTAAAATTTAACGACCATATTCACAAAATAAAAAACAAAGCATCTTCAAAACTAGGTTTCCTTAAACGCTGCTGCTCAAAATTTAATAATCCACTTGCTTTAAAAAATATTTATTTCTCTTTTGTTCGATCCCAATTAGAGTACGCTCCCCTTATCTGGTCTCCCAATTCTATACTACTTACTCAAAATCTCGAATCTATTCAAAACTCTTTCTTACGATTCCTTTCTTTCAAATGTAGAATAGAAAGACAACCTCACACTGGTTATGATGGAGTTTTAGGATTTTTTGATATGATTCCCCTAAAAACCCGTAGAAACTACTTGAATTTAAATTTTTTATTCAAACTACTTAATGATGAAATTGATTGCAAATTTTTATTAGAGAATCTAAATTTTAATACCAACCCAAAAAACACGAGAAATAATAATTTATTTTTCTTACGAAATACAAAAACAAATTATTCTCTAAATTCACCAGCAAATATGTTAATGTCATTAGGTAATTTTGCCAATTATTTAGATTTATTTTACTGTAGTAATAATGATATTAAACAGATATATGGTTTAATTTAAATTTTCATAATATTACCAATCTTTATACTACGAGATTATTGTTATTATTATTATATTATTATTAATTTTACTTTTTATTATATACAAATTAATTATCACATACTGTAAAAACTTTCTTTTCTCTATGAAATTATGTTATAACTGTTATATTTGTACATACTTTTTGTAAATGGAGTTTTTTTTTCTCCGTAAATAAATAAATAAATAAATAAATAAACTTGGTTAGATAACTGTAACTTTTATCCATTTACACAACATTAATGTATCTAGTATCTTGTGACTAGTTAATAGTTATACATTTTTAGAGTTACTTGTAACTTGTAACCAGTTACAATAAATTGAGTAACTTATCCAACCCTGCTTACAAGCAGTGGGGTGTATTATAAAAAAATTGGTGTATATAATGTATAGATTAAAGTACAATTAGAGAATATAATAATTATTATGTACAACACTAAGTAATATTGAAAAGTATATAAATATATAAGTATACAAATAATTAAGTATTTAAATATATAAAGAATACACTGATTGGCGAAGACTAATATTAATATTATGTTTCTTTTAAAAATATAATTTACTTAAATTTAAAAGTATCACGAGTAGTATTGAAAAAATCTAAGGCGGTGGAGACTAAATTAGCACGTTTCAGAGCTCTAACGAAGAATGAGTAATTATTTGATTTGAACTTGAAGAATGAAATGGTTTAGTGGTTAAAGATTCAAAAAATACATCTTTTTTACATATAATTATTGATGTTAAAATGAAAATGTAATCTTCAGATGGGTAATAACAACATATTCCTATAATGTAGTAATTTACCTTCTACTAAAAATGTAGGGATAATTAATATGTTGTGTATTGTAATTTTTAAGGAAAATAAATATTCGACTGAGTTATTGTACAATTATATAAATGTAAAAAAAAAACATTCTATAAAGTTCCTCAAAAGTTAAGGCTATTTTTTTACAATAGCGAATAGCACTTTGATTTATGTTTCTAGTATTTCAGTAATCTTACTTATTGTTATAAATAACTAATTAGTAGGTAATAGTACAGTTTAGTTTTTAAATCCTAGTGGTTAAAATTACAACTTATGGTAATATATTAATATATAGTTATAGGTTAGGTTAGGTTCACCATTCATGAAACTTTTTTCGATAAATGTATCTGAAACTAGTTTACTACGTGTAAATTTATAGTTTATTGAATAGAATAGAATATAATAGAATAATGTGTGAGTACTTTAGTACTTATAGGAAAATACAACCTTGTCAGCAATTATAATTTCATAATTAAATTACTTGTGTATAACTTAAAAATAATTGTTACATCTATCTTATATTATATTGAGATCTTCAAGTAGGTAATAATAATTTTAATAGGAATTTTTCTTTTTCATATTGAAGAGAAAACAAATTTTGTTTGTTGTTAATTTGTTAAGTTATGCGATTCATGTAACAAAAATTACACAATGTGATAACTCCATTTTAAATTCCTGAGGTTACTAAAAATTATTATTTTAAAACCCAACAAATAAACAATATTGTTCTTTAGTAATAAACTAATATGCATAGTGCATTCATGTAATAATACCTATTTTTAACTAGGTAGGTAACCTATGACAGTCCTATGTTTTATTTTCATTTTTAAATCAGATTTCTGTGTATATTGATTATTGAAGTATGTCTTTAAAACAAGCTAAACATTTTTCAATTGAATATAATTATATCTATTAAATCGCATGTGTTCTCTCCGTCTTACACACGTACGACATAGCAAATTTTCGTTCGCTAGATTCAATAGCCAATAGGGTATTGTCAGTTTTGATATTAGAGTGAATTTACCTATTATCAAACAAATTTTTAGATAACAATTAACAACATTGTCTGTGTTCTCTCGTTGGTTTTTTACGATACTTTAATTTTTTTTGAAAATTATGCGTACTTATATAATATACCATAAATTAAAAATGCTCTTAACTCACTTAAAAACTGAGTACCTACCTAATCTTAAAAAACCAACATAAGAACATAGATTCTTACCATCAGGCTTCATAATAATTGTTGTTTCACTCTAAATATTAAACTAACGGAGCTTAATGTGATCTGCTGAGCTTAAATTTGCTATGTTATGCACTTGTAAGATGGAGACAACAAATATCCGTGTGGCATCTCAATTCTAAGTTTGAGA